CTCTCTCTCTGGGTCTCTAACCTCCCCTCTCTCTCTGGGTCTCTAACCTCCCCTCTCTCTGGGTCTCTAACCTCCCCTCTCTCTGGGTCTCTAACCTCCTTTCTCTCTCTTTCTCGGTCTCTAACCTCCCCTCTCTCTGAGTCTCTAACCTTCCTTCTCTCTGGCTCTCTTATCTCCCCTCTCTCTCTGGGTCTCTAACCTCCTCTCTCTCTCTCTCTCTCTGTCTGTCTCTAACCTCCCCTATCTCTGGGTCTCTAACCTCCCCTCTCTCTGGGTCTCTAACCTCCCTTCTCTCTGGGTCTCTAACCTCCCCTCTCTCTGGCTTTCTGTCCTCTTTTGGGATCTCTTCCCTGCCCTCCTCTTTCTCTCTGGTTCTCTGTATCTTTGTCCCCATCTCTCTGGACAACCCTCTCTTTCTCTGTATCTCTTGTGGAATGTTGGGAGGGAAGGGAAAGCCTCTGGCCAGGACGGGTCGCCTAAGCTCCAGATAAGAGCTAGCCTCCCAGTGGTCTTTAATACGGGGTAGAGAAAGCTCCCCTGTGTTTGGCTGTACTGGCTCCAGAAAGCTCGCCACCTGGGAAGACGGCTGCCGTGTCTTTTGAGCTGGGAGTGGTCCACACGGGGCTGAGATTCCTCTGACCAATTCACATGTCGCACATTTGGAAGCACACCCTATTCTGTTTTCCTATGTATATAAGTGCAGTGCAGATCGCAATAAAACCGAGCTGGATTCACTCTCTGATCCTCTTCTGGAGTGCTGTATCTCCGTCGTGCTTACTCCCATCAGGGTGTCGCTGTAGGTTGCTGGCAAACAGACAGTGACAATCTCTGTCCTTCTCTGTCTCTCTGGGTCTCCATTCCTGGTTCTCTGTCCTCCTTTACTGGGGAACATCCTATATCTGTTTCTGTCCCCCTTTCTCTCACAGTCCCTGTCCCACTCTCTCTTAGTCCCCTGTCCTCCTTCCACTTTCCTTCTCTCATGGCCCCTCTCTCCTGCAGGCTCCAGGTGGGCATAGTCTGGATCAATGCCCATGGCCTCAGCGACCCTGCGGTGCCCACGGGTGGGTGCAAGGAGAGCGGCTCTTCCTGGCATGGGGGCCTAGACGTGAGTGTACCTCTGTCACCCTCTCCCTGTGCCCACCCATGTCTTTTTGACACTGTCCCCTTCATAGGGCTTCTATGAGTACCTGAGGCCCTCGGCGGCCCCTGCCCGGGTGGCACACCTTTCTGAGAGTCTCAACTATGACACCTTTGGCCTTGCTGTTCCCTCATCCCTACCTGCTGGGCCTGAAGTGGGACCCAGGTAAGCTGTTACTGGGGCTACAACTCCCAGAATCTCTGGGGCCTGGCAGTGTTGATCTGAAGGTGTTGATCTGAAGGTGTGCTGGGTGAAGGGAAGGTGCATCTATCCCCCATTGGGCTGGAGTGGTTGTAGGAGTCACCTTGGGGTATCCCCAGGTGTTGTCACATATTCCCTCTAGGGCTTAGTTGTTCACCCAACTCTGAAACCTGGTAAAAGTCTCGGTTCCCCTGAATGTGTGTTTGTGTCCGGAAACTCATGAGAATAGCAGTCTGAGGCCCCCAGAGGCTCATGGGAATAGCATTTGGGTTTCCTGGAGGCTCATGGGATTAGCAATCTGGGTTCCCCCAGAGGCTCATAGGAGTTGAGTCTAGGGTCCCCTCGAGGTTCATGGGAACACGTTTGAAATTCCAAAAAAGTTTACAGGAGAAGGTGTTCTGGGATCTCCCAGAGCCTCATAGAAGCTGCAACTTAGCATCTCGTAGAGGCTCATGGGATCAGGAGTTGGAGTACCCCAGGTGCTCACGGAAGTGGATGTTTGGAGTTTACAGAAGCTTCTGGGAGCTAAGATGGTCCATCCAGTGGGATGGAGCATGGGTTTTAAGCAAACCTTGACCCCGTGACCCACCCTCATCTCCTGTCCTGTTCCAGCCCAGCACCCCCCTATGGGCTCTTTGTAGGGGGCCGTTTCCAGGCCCCAGGAGCCCGGAGCTCTAGGCCCGTCCGGGATCCCTCCGGCAGCCTCCAGGGCTACGTGGCTGAAGGTGGAGCCAAGGACGTCCGAGGCGCCGTGGAGGCTGCGCACCAGGCTGCCCCTGGGTAAGGGGGCCACGCAGGAAAGTCCAGGGTCAGACAGTGGCAGAGAGGGCCGTCTGGATCCCCAGAGACTGGTGGGCTCTGAGCTAAACTTCCCAAGTAGGCTGATGGCATGTGGGGTGAGGACCCCATGGCCGTTAGTAGCGTGTGATTTGCCTGAGGAAAGGATCCAACTCCCACTCCCCTCATTGGAGTCAAGGGCCGTTGGATTTGGACCCTCGGGGTAGGGGCTTTGCACAGAAGTGGGCCCCTGGGGTAAACCAGGACCAGGCTCCGGGCCCGTCAGGGTGCACTGTCCATCCACAGCTGGGCGGGCCAGTCTTCAGCAGCACGGGCGGCCCTGCTCTGGGCCCTGGCAGCCGCGCTGGAGCGTCGGGCGACCACCCTGACCTGCAGGCTGGAGAGACATGGAGTGGAGTCCAAGGCCGCCAAGGCGGAGGTAGAGCTGAGTGTGGAGCGACTTCGGGCGTGGGGAGCCTCCCAGGCCCAGGGCCACGCTCTGCAGGTAAGAGGGGTCTGTGGACAGATGGACAAGGGACAGGCGGTCCTGCACAAGATTCAAGGTGGGGAGCAGAGATTTTAGAGTGAGACAGGCCCAGGTCTACCCTTCTTCCGTAGCTTCATGTTAATTAACAAGTGCTCTCACCTATGCATTTTAGTTTCTTCATCTATGAAAAGAACAAGCATCCTATCTCATAGACTTCTTGTTGTGTACCATCAAGCGAGAACCAACCCATAGCTGACCCTCCAGTGGGTTTTCAGAAGCAGCTGGTAGATCCAAACCAGGTGCCTTCAGGATCCCAGCGTGGCTTCTTACCACTAGGCCACCAGAGCTGTAGTATTTTCTTTTTTTAAATTGTATTATTTTTACGTGTACCATCAAATCAGATCTGACTGGTACAGGAGGAGATTGCCCCCTCCTTCTCCAGCAGAGCATCTGGTGGATTTGAACCGTGTACCTCTGGGATTGCAGTGCAGTGTCTTGCCACTAGGCCACCAGAAGCTGTAGTATTTTCTAAACTATGATTGTTGTTATACACCATTGAGTTGGAACTGATCCATAGCTGACCCTCCAGCCGGTTTTCAGAGGCCCTTTATTGCACAGCAGGAGATGGCCTGTCTTTATCCTGCAGAGCAGCTAGTGGCCTCGAACCGCATACCTTCGGGATTGCAGCACAGCTTCTCACCACTAGGCCACCAGAGCTCTCTAAACTATGATTAGCAATCCATTGTCTTTGGGTTTGATTGAGTTGGTTCCACCTGCTGGAAGCCCCATGTGACAAGATAGAACCACCTCGTGGAATTTTGTGTCATTTGACAGAAGCAGCTGTCAGATCTCTCTCCTGTGGAGCTGCGGGTTGGGTTCAAACTTCCAACCTTTCACTTAGCAACCAAATGTTAACTACTTCACTAACAGGGCTCCTTCCTAGACCTTAACGTTAATAAGTTGTAGTCACAATTTTTTTTTCAATTTATGTCACAAAAGGGGAAAAAAATTTAAAAAAAACCAAAAGGAAAATAGGACAGAGTGTGTTAGAGAATATTTGCTCCGAATGGCTTCTGTTTATCGTCATAAGCCAGACCCAACGCATTGCCAGATCAGTTCCCACTCACGGGTTCTGAGAGGACAAAGAACTTCCCTGGAGAGTTTTCAGACATCCAGCTGGGGATTCGTCTAACGAGGAGAAAGTGCAGATTCAGCCTGCACAGTAGGCCCAAGCCCTGGACACCCACATAATTGTTTGTGCGTCTGGGAAGAGAGAAAGTAAAAATGGCCCCTTTCATTTGGAGTCAAGAAAGACCTTCCATGGAAATTATGTGGGTGGGCTTAGGATTTAGTGGGAAGTTGAGACAACTGTAGTTTTTCTTCTAAACATTTATGTCCCCTAGTGACTAGCGAGATGCTTTACAAAATTACAATCATCAATGCATGTTTGCTTGGAGTTTGAACATATTAGTCATCAGCTTATTGTCATGATTTAGAATCATTGTTCTTTTTATTTGTATTATTCGTTTTAATGAAAGTTATAGAGACTTTGTATTTCCATTCATTCCTTTTTGCACTTTTCTCCCTGCCCACCCATACACCCCAGTTCGCTCTTCTCTTTGAAAAGTAAAAGAAAAATTCTTTCATTGTTTTACAATCCCTCCCCCAAGTCCACTCCACTGTGCAGCCTTCGTTCTGGACTCCTGTCATGACAATAATACCTAATCATATATCCCTTTTAAACAGTTCTCTGCCTCATTTGTTTCAATGGAGTATACATAATTTATCCCATCTTTCTCAGTTTCCCCCCAACCCCAATGTCAGTCCTGTTTTACAACAGTGGCACCATGCAGTATTTGTCCTTTTGTGACGGAGATACTTCACTCCGCATAATGTCCTCCAGGGTCACCCGTTTTAAATAATATTGCATGAGTTCCTTGGTTTTCAATGCAGCATAGTATTCCATTGTGTGAATATACCACAGCTTCTCTATCCATTCATTTGTTGGTGGGCACTGAGGTTGTTTCCAGCTCTTTGCTATTGTGAACAAAACTGCGATAAACATGAGTGTGCATGATTTAGAGTCATTCTTAAACTGCAGAAGTTGAAAATCAGCCTGGAGGATTTGAGAAAAATAGGTGGGAGACTGTAAATCTCTGACACATTACAGTCCAAGTAAATTGCTGATTCTCCCAGGTAAAGGTGAATGTATATTGGCTCTCCAGGCTAACAGGAATACTAAAAGTGCTATGAAGATCAATTACTGTAAACTGGGTAGCATCCAGGGGAACACTGGAAAGCAATGAGTGACCATCTGAGATATTAGAAAAATCTGGGAGTGACAATGGGGTTGATAACACACAAATCCTGAATAAACCTCCAACTTCTCTTTGGGTTCTTAGCAAGCAACAAAGAGGTGCTACAAAGGGTGGTGCATGACACAATCAAGCCTTTAGGAAAAAAGACCCAAATAATGGAATCTAGCCCTTCTGGGGCTTCATCTGACATACTTTGGGCATGTTGCAAGGAGGGACCAGTCCTTGGAGAGGGACATCATGCTTGTGAGGGTGGAGGG